TAAAGGCAGAGTGCAGTTTTCCTATGCAATTTTTGTATTTTGTCGCAAATGAACTCAATACAATCAGAAGATCAATACAATATATTTCTTTTATTGACCGGCCACTATGGAGTTTCTATAACTAGAACCTAATCTTCAAAATCTGTAACGAAATATTTTGCCTACCACATGGGGTATTAATACAAGGGGTAGAAAACCGAGGACTGAAACTAAGGGGTGGAGATAAGGCAAGCAAAATAACCGCTACTTGTGCGAACGGCACTCAGGGTTTGTTGGGAGAGCTGGGGCCATGGGTAAGTAAATGGCAAAGGGGTTTGGAATGGGGCAACTACTAAAAATCAAATAAAGTGGTCATTAATCTGTTGGAACAAACAAAATTAAAATAAACAGGAAACACCTCTAGTAATTTAATATAGGGCGCCACTTTAAAGTGCCTTATTATACCTACTACAACCACTAGTTGTAACTAGGGAAATAATTAATAAACATAAAAAACCTATCTTTTTCAAATAAAACTCAAAAAATGGGTTAGTTAAAAAAATAAACAAAATGTTAAGAAAACAAAATTCAACATTTATTATGTCTTACCACAAACAGTTACAAAACATAGTGAATACAAGAATACTCAAAAAAGACAATACAAAAATATTACCTCAATAGTCGCAAAATACAAAAATACAAAAAAACTTACATGTCATCCATTTTTACATTGATATTTACAAACTCTAGGAGTTGGAGATACTACAAAAAACTTACAAATGTTACCGCACAGAGGTTAACCTTTTTTTTAAACAAACAAAACAAATGAATATCGAAAATAATAAAGCTAGCTGTCATATGTTAACATTAAATTTTAAAAACTGAAAACAAATAAAATAACAGCTAAAGTCAAAACCCAAAATTTACAATTTTTAAATATTACAATTTCTAAATTTTAACGAAAGCAATTATTTATTTAAAAAAATTGTCTGTCTTTACTTTAAAATTTGATCAAAAAGTTACCTGGATTTTTCACTAACAAACTGCACTAAAATTTGTGGAACCAGACGCCACTGGAACCTCCGAAACCATAACTGGAACTGGGGGCTTCACTCTCTCTGCGTAACGAACAACTCCATCTCCAAACTGCCAAAAAGCCTTGGATGACAAACAGGGAGAAACAAAACGAGGATGAAAACGACGATTCTTCCAATCCTCACTCAAAACATTAATTGAAGCATTAACTGCCACAAAACTACTTTTCACTGCTACATATTTCAATAAAGAGAAAAACAGAAAACCACAAATTCGACGGATGAATTTGGATTCATAATTGAGCCTACAACGACCCAAGTAAGAATGACGAAATTATCTTAAGAATTCGTTCACAACTTGAAATAACAAACACTTGACAGGAATTAAAACGCAGAAGATTCCATTTCTACGACGTACAAAATTATAAGGCGACTTCGAATAAAACATTAAAAGAAAATCCGAGAAAGTTACACATCTTTAAAATAATAAACAACTCTAAAATGGTTTTTATTACTTGGCAACGCTAAAATGAATTGAAAGAATTCGGTGTTTTAATACGTACGAATCGGAAATTGAAACACATAAAAAAATATTCTGCGATTTTTCAAACATATATGAGGGGATTTCAATATATTACATATACGAGGGATTTCAATATATTTTAAAGAATCAATGAATTGCAAATGCTACAAACCTATAACATGAAATTTTAGTTTTAAGTTTTAACATTAAATGTGATGAATTTTAAATATGCTTAAAAACACAATTTAATCTTCCACATTACAAACAACCTAAAACGTTTAACAACGTTAACAAATGTTTATATGTTAGGATATTCCAGTATTTTCTGACTTTTTTTTCTTATTTTGACAAGTAAAAAATTTTTTATACATCTATTTGAAAGAATTTAAAAAATTAATCATTACCTTTATACCTTTGTCAGAGGGTTTGTATAAAGTACCTAATGCGTAATAGTATATTACATAACGAGAGTTGTAAGAAACTTATTACATGCGAGTAAAAAAGTTGCGCGCGAGCCGCGTGGCGGCGAGCGCATTAATTTTACAAGCATGTAATAAGCTTACAACTCAAGTTGTGTACTATACTTTTTCTACGATTATTTTCATTTATAAAAATAAAATTAAATTACCTATATATTTACACTGACAGATTAATAATTTTTAATCTGTCAAAATAACGTCTGTTAATTCGTTTCCATGGTAACTCGACTAACAGACTTACGAGGCTTATGTGATATTACACATTTTTATAAAACTGAAGCGTAATTTTTTTTATTACGTGCTAGTCATTAGGTGTCAGTATCTGATGCATTTACTTAGCATCCAAATAGTAGGTAATATACAATTTACTAGTAAGAGAGTAGAAAAAGATATTTAACTCTCTATTCCTGCTTTGAATAATTAAAGAACTTTTGCTGTCACTATAAATTATAAACTTTGAATGATTTATATTAGATAAATATTTTAGTGCTTCCGCTATCGCTATTTATTCAGATGTGTATATACTCATGATGGAATTGAGTTTAAACATTTTACTGTTTTATTATTGTTATCCCAGTATACACATCCCACATCTTCGATACTTTTGGATGCATATGTATATAGCATATAATAAATAGTCTTTGGACAATTGTGAACTGTCAGATATAAACATTAATTTACTTAAAGATAAAGGTAAATTGCAGTAATCCCTTAAGAAGTATACCTGAACTTGTTCCAGAGTATTAAAGTCAATATTGTAATTTGAGTTTATGTCATATTTATATATAATAGTTGTTTATCATGTATTGTCGTTTTTGAATAGAAATCTACTAAATTTAGAGTTTTCTTTTTTATCCAATATTTTTTTGTTAAGTCTAAGAACAGCTGGTGTATTTTGGACATTAAACTTGACATTTTCTCGTACAATTTAACTAAAAGTCTGATGCCAAGATTTTTTCGTCTTATATCCATTGGCATTTCACAGCATTCGACTTGTAGGTGACTAATGGGTGTACTTCTTAGGGCTCCTATACACAAATTAAGGCATTTATTAACGATTTTGTCTATTTTGTTTAAATGACACTGTGATGCGTCACTGTAAAATATTGATCCATAGTCGATTATAGCTCTTATATTATTTTTAAATAATAACAAAGAAATATTTTAATGTGCTTCCTATTGTGTGACAGGAATCGAAGAAGATTTATTCCCTTTTTTGTTTTTTTTAACTATATTGTCTATATGTTCTTTCTAGAGAAGCTGTCTATCAAGAGTAATACCCAAATATTTAACATAACTTTGCCCTGGATAGGAGACATCGTTTATTAAGATGTAGTTGGATATCTCTTTTCCTTTTCTTTTAAAAATACACAATTTAGTTGTGGAGTTTAAATTTTTTACTAGATCAGCAGTATAAATTAAATACAACAACGGGACAATCGATAGCCTTGGACTAATTTTGTTACCATTTACCGATATATAATTTTTTCTACAGTCATATAGTTTTATTACTTTTTTGACAGAAACATTCGGGAATACCTACCTATTTCTGTAATTTTCTTATATAGTATACTTAAAATAAACATTGTCGTATACTGATTCAACATCCAATAAAAGAGCTGTTACTGAAGACTTTGACGTAAACGGTAAATTTATATCTGTTACCAAGTGGCTCACTGCTTCCACAGTAGAATGATTTTTTCGAAATCCAAGTTGTGTTTGTGATATTTTATTATTTTTTTCTAACTATTTTTCAAGCCTAAGTTTTATCATTCTTTCCAGTGTTTTTGTTAAGCAGGAGCTTAATGAAATACCTCTACAATTCTGCCGAATCAGACTTCGATTTGCTTTAAATATGGGAATCACTATCTGAAATAATAGATAAAGTTAATAAACGAATAAAATCGAAACAAGTTGAAATGAAATAATTATTTACAGAAAAATAAGAAACATGTGACGTTTATAACGTTACAATGCAATTAAAAATAGCGTTTGGCTTAAAATGGACTCCTGAGGGATTCCATTACGTAGCATTTTTAGGGAACTTATGATTTCATTTAGTTTAATTTGTATTGAACGATTACTTAATAATTTTTTTATGAATGCAAGCATGTTACCTTGAATTCCATCATTACTAAATGTTGCTAATATAGAGCTTTCATCTTATATCGAAACCCTGGATTATGTTTAAAAATATTGCTAAATAATAACTTTTGATTGTTTGTAAAGGCTTCATTAATTGAGATCTGTAGTGAGATATAATTATCAAATGTAGACCTTCCCCTGCGTAAATCCCTTTAAAAAGGCGTAAGAAGATCATTTGTTCCTGAATTACATGTTAGACGAAGATTTAAAATTTAATACAATATTTTGCACATGCTGCATGTGAAAAAAATGGAATGATGAGGCTACATCCCTGGGCTTATTGAGTTTAATAATGGGAATAGTTATTGCCCGAGACTAAAGTTTTGGAAATGTATGTTTTAAAAAACAGGTGTTAAATAAATCTAACAGGAATATTTTTGCTGTGAAATGTATTTTATGAATACTGGTGGGATATCATAGTGTCCTGAAGATGTGTTTTTGGAACTTGCAGTGAAAAATTCTAGTTCTCGAAGAATTATAGCAAGATTTAATGATCTTAATTCAGAATCTTTTTCCATGATTTTGAACGATTCAATACTTTGCTTAGGTAATAAAAATTCCAGAATTATATTTTGGTTCCTAAAATTTTGTTGGTAAACTGTCTGATCTTATTATTTTGAATAAGTGTTCTTTTTTAGTTTACTTCGATAGGTTATCTTGTGTATTAACAAAAATCTACAAAAGTATGGAAATTTATTTGTGCATAATTTATAGAAAAATACTTAAGATTATTTATTTGTTTTTCTCAAACAGACGGTACATTCTGTTTTAATTTTATAAAATAGACGATAAAAGATTAACGTAAAAGCGATAAGGGGATGTGTTTATAATAAGATCTATAATAACACAAATCCGAGGCTCAAATCACAAAGAATCACGCTTATTACGATGGCCATAGTCCGATTCTTAGAATAAAGTTAAAAGATAAGAAAATCATTTTTAGTAGTCACTTAAACGTGGGTGATGGAACAAGTATTATAATAATTAATTTAGTTGAAACTTATTTCATTTTTTTAAAATGTGGGCATATCTGAAGGTACCTGTGAAAATTACTGCCTTTAGACCAGCGATTTGGAGTTCGTCGCAGATGGTAGTTACAAGCATTAGTTCTAGATCTATAACACATCAGGTAAAATATAATTATAATTTTAATAAAAATATATCAGAGAGAAATAATTTAATGCATTTTAGTGGTAATTTTATTTTTTGGGTCTTATAATTTCTAGAAGATGTAATTAGAAATATTATATTTGACCTTTCGACGTCCACTTCAAAAATCATTTTTACAATATAAGCTTTTTTAAAATTGTAATCGTTTCTATGTAATAAAAACCAAAATATTTTGTTTTTTATTACATAGAAATTAAATTTGAATACTTCACACATAAGGACTATTATTCAGATATATTATAGATACATTTTAAAGAAGAAAACTTTAAAATGGTATTGACAGTATATTTGAAGTGGATTTCCGGGAGCATATTTCATATAAGTGAAATGAACTTTAATATAAGAATCTCTACCAGAAAAATAATAATAGTGTATAATTGCTCTTCAATAATTCGACATAATTAAATATATCCAATCATGACAGTACAATTTTCTTGTATCAAATGTATCTTGGATGTGATTTTTTTCTGTTTATTAACGTATCAATATTTGTGTTTTCTGTTTAATAACTTTTTCTACATATTTATTCAGATTATACAACATTTTACTGAGTATGTATTTGTTGTCCAATTTGCTTTACTTTTTTTGGTATTTACATATGTGAAATATATCAAATTTTTAATGTCAAATTTATGTTCATTTATTAAAACATTTAGTGGTTTTGAGGCTTTATTGACTTAAAGTTTTTGCATTCACAAAGTATTTTATCAACACAATAATTTGTTCTTTTTGTTTATTTTGGGTTGAGGTTTAGATAAGCTAGATCTCAATATGATAGTTGTTTAAATATTATTGTAATATTCAATTCCTGTTCTTTTAAGTTTCACAGAATCATATTTCACATATGGTATTTTAGTTTTCATCATATCGTTTCCCATACTATATTTCAAGATCTTCTTTAGTGTTGTGCTGCTCTCTAGTACACTTTTAGTAAAATTCCTTATTGATGAATGACAGATCGTAATCAGTTTTTACTAAAATAGCTGTTAAAAAGTTTCTTCTCTAAATACACATGTTCATTAAATCATTTTCACTTTATTTAGAATGATTTAATGATCCATTTTTTAATATACACTGAGCGACAAAAAAGTGGCCACCCTATAAATTTCTGAAAATAAAAATTCATTGGAAGTTTTATGCACTGTTTTATATTGCATCTTAAATATTTTCTACGATCTTGTATGTTTGTTTTTGACAGTTTCGACGTTTATGGTTCCGGTCGTAGAATAGTTACCTTACAAAGAGATGATCGTTTTAATGTGATGGAACCCTTAAGAAATCGCCATTCCACTACAATTGCTAAAGAAACCGTCTACAGGAGGTTCAAAATGGAAATGTAAGTGAGAGAACGGTTAGATGACGTCTCAATATAATAGCTAGTGACAAGAAGGCAGGCTATTTTTCCTGAATTACAACGTAGACCTGTAGGAATCGATTTTTTTTTTTGCCTTCAACACTGGGATATACAGGATTGGAGCTGAATTCTCTTAACTAATAAATCGTGGTTCGGTTTGAACTGGCGATAGCTCAGAGAGAGTTTTAAGGCGAAGAAATGAAAGATATGCCCAAGCTTGTATGTCCCAGAGGAAACAGTTTGGCGGTGGTGGTGTCATGGTTTGGGCTATAATCTCACTTGAAGTTAGAACTAAACATATTTTTATCAATGGTCCCCTGAATACTCACTGGTATATAGATGATTTTTTGGCAGAAGCAATAGTTTCATTTGGTTCTTTTATTGCGGACAATTTCGTCTTTATGCATGATAATGCACAGCCGCACTACTGGGGAAAGTTGGAATTAAGACTCTAGAACGGCCAGCCTGCAGCCCCGATTTAAATCTCATCGAACGTCTTGAAGATGAACTTCATCGTAGGGTTACATGTCATTGAAGCTAGCCAGAAAGTCTTACACAACTTTAAAACAAGCTTTGTGAAGAATATAAACGTATTCCTTAAGTTTTCATTCAAAATTTTTTCCTGTCCCTTCCAAATCGTATGCAAACGGTTATTGATGTTTAAGGGCATAATACCCGAGAGTTCACTCGTAATTTTTATTATTTGTAATTTGTTTCGGTATCACACTATTTTTTTTTTGTAGCCTTCTAATTAAATAAATTATGCTAAGAAATAAAACAGTAATGGCTTTTTTTTTAAAATAAAAGATGTTGAGAATACAATATGAAACAGTGCATAAAACTTCTAATGAATTTTTATTTTCGGAAATTTATAAGGTGCCACTTTTTTGCCGGTCAATATATTATATATTCTATAAATAAGTCATTTTTAGTTCTATTGATTGTTACGTCTGCTAATATTCTGTAATCTTCTTTGTTCACGGCTAATATGTTTAACAATAATTCTATGTAATAGAGTTCCTAATTTATAATCAATATTTGTGGAGAATTTTTTCAGGATCTTTGCTTTTTAGTATTTTTCTTAAAAAACCTAATTTTCTAGTGTGTTATGCGAATATTTTCTCGTGGTCGGGAAAAGTAACGTGGTATATATACATATGGATCGTTAATAACTCTTTCTTCGTACAAAATAAAGTATAGAGTGACTTAGGATAGATTTTACATTATAAAAACTTTTTAGTTTCTCTGTCTTTCTCCCGCTCTTTCTCTATCTCTAAGTATCTTTATCACACCCTATAGTCGCACACTGTTAAATTTAATGGTTAAATCTACGAAGTACGTACGAGCAGGTGTATTGAATTCTATTGATGTTTTTCGTTTTATTGTAAACAATGCATCGGTTATAGACCTTTTTCTGAACGTTAGTCTTTTTTAATTTCCGTTAATTCTTCTAATTTTTCTTTCAACATTGCGGAGAATAGTTCTATTTAGAAGCAATATTCCTCTGTAGTTTGCTTATGTGGTTTTTGTCCGCTTAAAAATGTTATGCTCGTATGCATGTTATGCTTATTACTTTGTTATATTGTACATTACAGTGGTCTTTTCTGATTTTGTTTTTAATTCCTTCTTCCTTAATCTTATTGCTGTTTGGTGATTACACTTTTTTTTCTGATTCATATAATATATGGTGTTCATGTAGCTTACTTATAAATTTTATCTAATATTTCTTCTTGTTACCCTTAAATTTTAATTGATCCTAGTTCTGAAATCTACATATTTTCTGTGTGATTTATGAAATTAGTTACTTTTGTACTCCGAGTAAGAATGTTTTTTAATTATGTCAGTTCTCTAATTTCTGCATTAGCATTCTGAATGCGTTTTTGTTTACTCTAATAATAGGTAACATGACGAAATAATATTTAACTTATATCTAACATACTTTGGTTAAAGAATCATTCCTTATAAGTGAAGTAACGTTTATCGAAATATCAAAAACTATCAAAAAGATTAACGATTCTGTCAGTTCTTGATTAGAATTATATAACTTAATAAATTTTAAACACTACAATTGATAAGGGTTTTGTTTCCTGTCAATATTACCAGAGAAATATCATTTACAAGAGATAAATATTATAAATGTATTAATACTAAGTAGATACGATCTTGTACCTTTAATATTGGTTTTGAATATAGTCATTTGTTTGGGTAGGTATATTTTGCTTTTTTAATATAAAAATACTGACATAATGAATAACAACATGCAGATAGTGTATACAGAGAACCATTTAGTTCTTTATTTATTATTTAGTAATTATTAATAGAGTTCAACCCGTTTTATATCAAGTAATAACAGATGTACTTTGAGATAAAATTTAAAACATTTATTGAAATTTTAGGTGCGGCAAAAATTTTATAAAAATGTCTTTAATAATATTAAAGGTAGAACATCTTTGGCCAGCGCCTTATTAAAAAACACGCCATTTCCAGAGGTAAACATTAATACTTTACATTTAAAATACTAAAATACAAAACTCTGATTTAAATTTAAGAAAAAAACATTCAAAACAATATCATATACAATCAATAAAAAACAGACCTTGTTTAAAACAAACAATGCATGTTTAGCAAATTTATTCACATATAAGGTTTATTAGACTGTTGTGGGTTTGGTTTTTTCGGTAGTGGGATGAATACTGGTTCTGGGCAGTCTTAGGGTATTTTTTATGTATCATAAATGATCGAATAAAAAAAAAATATTTTGATGTTTTCTTTGATGATTCATTTCAACGTTTCTGAAAATATTTCATCTGGACCTAGGCTCTCATTTATTTTGAGTTGATTAATAGCGTTTATAACTTCGGATTTTTGCATATTCGGAACTTCGTTGTTGTTGTCCATTGTTATTGGCTCTTCTCGAATGCCGTTAAAAATGAATGTGATATAGGCATCCCATTCTTTCAGTTTATCTTCGTACGATTCTAGCAGTTTGCCATCTGTGTTCAGCATGGTGTTTAAGGTTAGCTCTTGTTTGTCGATGTGAACTCATTTATCTTTTTATATATATTAAAAAAATATTACCTTTGTTGCAGTTTTTCTATTGTGACGCATTTAACTTCCATCCATTTTTTTGCCTCAAGTCTTCGATATTTTTCGTCCTTGATCTTTGGATTCTCTTCGTTGCTTCATTAATTGTAATATCACCTCTGTTATCCATTCCTGGTTGTTATTTCTGGGTTTTGATTATAGATGTTTTTCTATTATGTTGGTCTAATAATTTTCTATTTGCTCTTTAATAGTTTTTCACGAGACGTTTACGTCATCGGATTTAGTAATTCTATTGTAGTCTATATTCTTCAAATTTTTGTTTAATTCTTTGTTCTCTGTCATTATGGTGTCATTTTAGACTAGGCGGAATCTGTAAAAAATTCAGACCATAATGGACTTCAGGATGTGCCCAATATCGATAATCACGATATGCGCCAGTCGCAAGCTACCAAAGAATATAGACGCTCTATATTCTTTGCTTCTACTACGGACGTGGTGCCCATATGACCCTCGACTGAATTTAAATTACGCGCAATTTTTTATTTTTGTTGTTACAGGTT